GGGAATGGAACCTGCTGCCCTGTGATTCTGATCAGCTTTTTAACCGTCAAGGGTCCTCAAGCCCTAAGAGTCCATCGCCCTGAGAGTCAATCAAGCTCTACTCTAACCAAGAGTTCATGTACATAATACTAGTGTCATCATGGGCAGTTTATTTAATACACTACCAATGACACCACCATGGTATATATACAGCAACTTGTGGTTACCTCTTGGCAAAAGGGCTCTTTAGGTCAGAAGGCTGTGGTAGAATTGCAGTGCTGCAGGTTCAATTCATGCTGACAGGCTTGTAATTGTATTCCACATGTATTCATGATATCATTCTAATGAAAATTTCATTTTAGAACTGCATTAAATATTATAGGGCGTAAGAGTATATCATTATATTATGCTACAGCAAATTGTATTTCCTGCTATAATATACCTTACTTGTAGGGATAATAAATTATTTTGACTCGAAAAATGTCTAGTTTATTGATTTCTAAAGTTAGTTAAAGACTTTTCTTTACTCCGATATATAGAAGTCATTTTGTCTCCAAAGGAGTCGAATTGACTCCAAAAGTGGAGTAAATAAAAAAGGTACAGAACGACTCCTTTTTTGGAGTAAAATTTACTCCTTTATTTACTCCATTTTTGGTGTAAATTTTACTCCTTAAGTAGAGTTGTTTTTACTCTTTGAGGAGTAAAAACAACTCTACTTATGGAGTAAAATTTACTCTAAAAATGGAGTAAATAAAGGAGTAAAATTTACTCCAAAAAAGGAGTCGTTCTGTACCTTTTTTATTTACTCCACTTTTGGAGTCAATTTGACTCCTCGAAATTAACAGTGTAACACTTGCATGTCCATGCAACATTGACTGAGCTATCAATGTTTTAAATAGAATAAGCATATTTGAGTTGAATGTTAAAAAATTGCATAAAATTGCCTATATCAAATATTAATTGGTTATACTTGATATTGTATAGTTTTATTGTGGCCAAAAGAGTGAGTGAATGAAAAACATAATTGTTTGATAAACATTTATTCATTCATCAGAGAAAGTATTTCCTTTCCTTCACGTATATAATCCTTTGCATGGGAAACCATTAAAACCCAAACTGTTTGATCTTTTGTTGATTATCGAGGCATATCTGAAGACCAACTTTACAATACGAACTCTCAAAGGACATCAAATAAGCTTTCAAACATTTTTAAATGTCGGCTATGTATTCTTGGCAGTTGGCACTGAAATAAAGTTTATGTATGTATGTATGTATGTATGTATGTAACTTACTAGGCTATTGCCCAAAAGCTAATATTGAAATTGTTATTAATTATAGTGGATCAACTGTGTTCCTCAATTGTTTTACTCATTTATAAAGTATTACATTTTAGGGCTGTATTAATCTTTTATTTAATTCCTTTACTAACTTCGTCACCTTTATATAGATATTTAGCCTTTCCTTGATAGAATAAATTTAAAGTTAAATTTGAGTGTAATAGCTTTAATTTATAGTTTTTACATTGTAAACGTGAAATCAAACAGCACAAGTTTTTTCTGGTCACCCGGTATATAACTCTAATCGGCACCTTTCTGCATTTACTCTTTCTTTATAGTCAGTACCTCAAAACATACCCCCACCTTTGCCAACAGATTACACCAAAGTTGATCTACCACAACTTAAATCCGATATGCTAAAGTGGTATTCTGTGATACCACCATCAGCTAAAGATTGGTGGGAAAGCTTTTTGGAGGGGATTGAAGACAACATATGCCATGCTCAAGAAGACACTGAATGCCCAATCTATTCTCTGAAAAATAATCTGCAGAGGCCAATTACAGAAACAGAGGAAACTGCTGAGATATCTCAACGACTAAGAACATTAAGGGAAAAGGAGTTGGCACCCCTAGAAGAGGTAAATGATTCTCTCATTAACAAGAAAGCAAGTAACTCAGTCATTAGGAACAAGGTCTCACCCAACCTCGTTCCCAGGGTCTCTCCGTCTGTCATCTGGAAGAGACCCTGGCTGCGGCTGGTCACGTGCCTCCCAGATTCTGGGAGGTAAATTTAATTGTAACTGTGAGAGGGGTGGGAAAGGAGCGTGTTTGTAGCGTTTTAAAATTGCAACTTTGGGTGATGAAATTTACTGTAAATTTGCAACAAGAAATCGTAATTATAAAGAGAACTCTTGAATTAATATTTATATCGTGACGTTCTACTCTATAATCTGGTGTCGAGTTACAATTCAAGCAAGTTGGATCAGATTTCATTATAGACTTGCCAAAGAAAGCACGCTTGCCGCTTGTGCAGCGTGGCAATATTAAACTGTGATTAAACCTACAAGAAAATATATATCTCTAGACCGAACAGTGTGGTTGTTATTTATTTAGTATTAAAGTTTATCCTGATACTCGGACCAAAGGAATTTATTTATTGATGAGATGTGGAATTGCAACGAAATAGCGAGATCTTTTGATTTCCGAAATATCGCCAACTGTATCCAGATTGTTGATCTGTATAAAGGCCTTATCAAAAAACTTAAAGCCCGTCAAAAGACTATAAAATTGGCCCTTGGCATTGCTGAATCCAACGATCATGGTATATGTCAAAGTATAGCTGTCTGTTGAAAATCTACGGTATTAAAATCATACACCAAAGATAAGTCAAACGGCAAATTATATGTCACTATATTATACATGTCTTTCAATGAGCACTGTTTGGTAGTGTTCACCACCTTTATAAATTTTGTAAACAGCTTTCGTTTTGACATGAATAAGCTTTAATTTTTTGCTTTATATGCATTCTTAATATATACAAGTGAGATTTAAATTTTTGCTTTGTGAAATAGATACCGTTATTTTTTAATGTACAGCTTGCATCGTCTATATCATATCCAGGATTGCTTGTGTGTAAACGCATTATTCACCATATGACATTGACACTATCAAATAAATATAAGTAGCAAATGATTAATGAATTAGAGATAAACAGGTGATTCACAATGAAAACTTTAAAAATGTTAGTAGAAGTAGAAAACTCGAAAATTTATGTCTATTCGTATGACGCCAAAATGACGGTCTGTGCGCATCTGACACTGTAAATTTGTGATATAGATTATAGTATATTAGCACAATATAATGATTAATAGAGACCAAGAAAAAGGCTAAAGTCTTACTATAATTACCGAATACGAATTTATGTAGTAAATCCAGATAAATCAATGACTGAAATTTCCTCTATGCTTATGGACATTTCTCTGTTCGGCTATTATCAAATGTTTACATTTGCTAATATTTGGGCCAGTCCTAGACAATACTGTTTCTTTTAAAAATGTTATAAACAAGACGCGTAGTAACAAGTGAATCGGTGCAAAGCGTATCAACGTTTACAAGAAAGGACCAATGTAATGGCCTATTTTAAAAACATTACAACAAACGTTTGTTATAACCGCGCTCGAGTGTGAAGAGAGCATGCATTGAATAACAACACGAGAGAGCAGTGCGAGTAACGATTTGCTTGGTTTCTTGACTTGACTGTAAGTAAGAATGTAACAATGTTCTTGTAAATTCAAAGCAAAGAAAATAAACAAAAATTAGCAAGTATTTTGAACGTAATAATTCCCAAAATCTATGTTTTTAACGAATATCCCACTGGAAGCATGTTGATGTAATTTGATACTTTCCCCACACCCCCTCAGGCGCTAAATTTTTGATGAAGCACGTGACCAGCCGCAGCCAGGGTCTTTCCCAAAGAAAGATCCTGGGTACGAGGTTGGGTCTCACCATGGGCCTATCTCTTATAGTAAAATGATTTGGCAATGTGAATGTTAAGAGTACAGTCACTGAGCTCTCTTTCAAACATCAGTATATGTTTATAAAATGATTATTTTTTTAGTTGTTGTGTATTGGAAATATAGCCCATGCTCCCCCTTCCATCAAGATCACTCTGCTGGGGAATTTGGACAACTCGGCCCAATGAACAACTCGGCCTAATGAACAACTCGGCCTAATGAACAACTCGGCCTAATGAACAACTCGGCCCAATGAACAACTTGGCCCACTGAACAACTTGGCCCAATGAACAACTCAACCCATACCTTCTTGGCACAATTATTAACTACTGTTTGATATATTAGGAAAGATAATATTTTATAAAAGCTAGCACTAACCCAATACAGCCATTTGCAGTACATTAGGCATACAGATGAGTAAAGTTTGAGAACATTCAGTTTCACTTAATTTGATTAAAGAATCTATCAAAGTTTCAAATTCTCAATCTGTCCGTTTTGATACTAAATTACTGATCAATCAAATTTCTCTCAAAATTTGCAGATAGAACCCAGTCACGGCTCATTGTAGTAGGTTGTTTGGTGGTTAGATTAGTCAGTTTACAAGCAGGGAGAGTTGGTCCTTGAAGGTGGGCCAAGTTGACTGTAAAGACTCTGCTGTCATGCATGCATGACCATACAAAACAAGCTTGCAAATCAGCTAATCTTTTCCTTTCAGATTTATACAGGACCATATCAACCGCCTGCTGTTCGTGGCATTCGACATGATGACAACTATCTTGAAGCACTTTCCCCTGGAGTGTTTGTGGCAGTATATATTAGCAATTACAAGAAGAAACCAGTCATTGGAAAGGTAACTGAGGTTTGTGATATTGACTTTAAACTGGACTATTGGAAGGGCACATATAATACAGCCTGGCAACCACTTACAGTATGGTGAAGAGCAAAGAAGGACAAATACCTTGGAATGACACTCTCCCAAAACAGTCAGTGATTGTATGTTCATTTGAACTTGATGAGAACAACCATCTCTTTGAAAATACCCGGAAGTTTATAAAACGGTGGTATCGCGAGGAAGCCAAAAGGGTAAAAGACATATAGAATCAAAACAACTGTTCCTAGGCTTCCTAATGTAAGCTAGAGTAACTGGCGCAAGATTATTTCAAACAAGCAAAATTGTCCAATACAGTGTTGCCAGTCATATAATTAATTAGTTATGAATATTAGTATATTACAATTCCTGAATAGACATAATTCCTTCAATGAACCATTACAAAATGACATATCACTCATTCTGTATGAGCTTTAATATTTTGATCAGAGTTATCATATTTTATACTTTGCTAGTGAGCCTTATTAAAAGTCTCCAAGGGTGTGAAATGCATAAAATTTTATATTCAACTTATGTATCAATCAATTCAAAATTTCACCAGGGCCAATCCTGGGAATTTGAACTTTTTTAAATTTGACTGGTCAAAAAGTCTTCAAATGCCCCACTGTAACAAGAAATTAAACGTCCAAACAGTAAAATACAAAAAGTACAAAATATAGGGAAATTATATTTATTGGCAAGATAGAGAAATTCACTTAAAAAGTTTGGAAACCTTATGGGAATTTAACAGTTTCACACAATTTTGTAGTACATACTTTCAAATGAACCACATAGCTTTCACATGCCTGATTCTTTGAGCCAGTTTTTCATAATTTCCCTCGAAATCCAAGAAAACTGTGTTTGCCGCCAATGCAAAGCTTTTTTGTGCATGCAGAAAGCACACAGAAATGGGCAAAATTTTAAGACTTCCGGTTCAAATTCCCCACCCTTAATATCAAATGCCCCACTAAATGGAAGATTTAGAACGTCAAATTCCCTACAGACCCTACTCCCTGGAAAAGACTTAAGTCAAATTCCTGGGATATGCCCAAAGGGGGGGGGGGGATGCTGAAGTTTCAAATTGATCAATACATTACAGAATATCAAAGACATAGTCTCAAAGTATACAGTACACATCTTCTTATTAAGCTCTATTTACATTTCAAACTTTCATTGGATTTTTTTTGGTTTTTGTTTTGTTTTTTGTTTGTTTGATATGACAATGCTAAAACTATTAAATCTCAATAAAAGCTGTGCATAACAGAATTTACAACATATAAGATTGGATAAAAGTGTATCCAGGACCAAGAGGTGAAGAAACCAGGACCCTAACTTGTTTACGATGAAAATTGATTTTAAAAACTTACTTTCGACCACCACCACCACGGAGTGAACCACAGTTTCATTAATTTCTACTTGAGGCAAGCAATAATATTAAAATATATCAATTACATGTGCAAGTTCCACACATGCGGCTAAATCGAGGAAATGAGGAATGCGCATTTGCCCGACGCCATCTTGAATCATTATTAACTGGGGACATCCGTGGTTATCTTATGATAATAATGAATCAGTAAAATGGTTATCCGTTAAAGTGCTCCTGTATCCCTTGGCTACATCCGTAGTTCATTTCTATTGTCAGCTCGGAATTAAACACGCGATAAAAAGTTTTCTTTATTAAATTGACTAGAGATATTTACTATGAAAAGATGCTGATTTTTATGGCGAATTCAATGGTGTTCTCCGATTTTCCATCTACTCTGTACACAAATACCTATAGTAGGGTAAAGACTCGAGTTTTAGAGTATTATAAAAGGGCGAATATTTCGGGTAAGTTTTTGAATTAAAAAGGAAAACTAGGGCTGTTGATATAGAATTTCATGCAGAATCAAAGGGTATTTTTGGAATTTCTATCTACCGTGAACACAACTATGTGCTCACTATACGAAAGTAAATTTGCGTGCCAGTAAGTGTCGATCAATGCATACAAATCACTGTGAAAAATGTCGATACGCGAAATGCTGTTATTTTGTATTTTCGATCGGTTTATTTTCTTTTATATGAAATCAAAAGCTAAAATAAGTCATTATAATATATTATTTATGATTTAAAAGCATCAAAAGTGCATTTATTGTGATTTATAGACTAGCTTTATTTATATACATAACAATTCAGTATTTAGGCATGTGCGAGCGACAATTATCCAATCAGAATCCAATATTTTCATTTTCCCGCGAATTCGTTTGTTTTGATTACATCATTCATGATAGATACTATGACATCATAACTGAGACCCAAGTCATCAAGATGGCGTCGGGCAAATGTGCATTCCTCGATTTAGCCGCTGGGAAGATTACACTGAATCCGCCATATTAATTGAATATTAAGCGCCGAGGCCCGAAAACCTGGGTTCTAATGTTCGACAGTGAACTCTATGTTAACTGGAACGATAACCCCATGATTCGCTGAAGCCATAATAGATTTACTGAGTTTTGATCTGAAATACTTGACACCAAACATTGCGCAGTATTTGAAACTGAAGCTACAAAAACAACTGACAATTAATTTTGTAGTTTTTAAGTATTTCCCTTTAAGCTAAAGTTTTGAAATTTCTACACCAAGTAACGTCTTCCAATAACTTCAG